ATTATTTTGTTTTGACGGTTTTCAGTGATAGTCAATCCTGAAGACGGAAGACCAAATCTAATTAGTAGTCTTGTGGTACTGGTTCTACTAGAACTGAACTGCAAGGGCAAACATGTCAACTTGATTGTGTAGGGGCAAATATGTCCAACGAGTGGGAAATCTGTCCAAAGTTTTTCTTTTACTGTAATGATAACCACAGTCCGATACATTTTTTAAGGGCAAAATAAATCAGAGGTTATAAGGGCAGATTTGTCCGATACATATTCGAGTACTCAGAGTGAAATTCTTAACTTGTAATCATCTGTTTTAATTCAATCATATGGAAATTAGTCTTTTAATTCTTGCAATTCTATGGTGTAGATTCCTTCTTATGTTTTGTATTCGGTGAACCTATATCTGGTGCACCTGTGTGTTATTATCAATATCAGGTGCCAAACCTTCATTTTCTTATACCTTGCCCACTGTTGAATTGTACTTCATGTCTGAAGATGCTGTTTGTTTTTTATAAAAAAAACCTCTTCAGACTTCTTATTGCTGCGCGACGCAGCACACGCGCATCACTTTTAGTCTCACAATTGTTTGTTTTTTAGAAGTCTTCAGAGTAAAAAACATATGCGCGTGTTCTGTTTGACACAACACTTGTGTTGCCTCTTTCAACCTCTTTTTTCTTGCTGAAAACTTTATTATATGTTGTTGAAATCTTATTTTACTTTTTTTTTTTTGTTTTTTTTTGTTTATTCTTGTTGAATTATTTTTTTCGTTTTTTTATATTGAATAATGATAATTTTTTGATGAAATATCATTAATTTTTGCTAAAATATCTATATTTTTTTGTTGAAATATCATTATTTTTTTGCTGAAATATCATAAATTATTGCTGAAATGTCATACATTATTAAATTTTCGGTATTAAAAAATTATTTTCGGTTTATAAAATCAGTTTATTTTAATTTTTTAATATCTGCAACAACATGCAGATGTTAAAAAAACAAACACGTTTCTTATTACAGTCTGCAGCCGTTTGGTCCACCTCTTCTCCTGCAGAGGGTTGCAGAGGTGGTCCGCAGACTTCATGAATTTGTGCTTCAAAAAAACAAATAACACCTAAATCACTTTTGTCCATTGTGTATAATATTATTACCCTTCTCAAGTATATCTACAGGTTTTGTGTAATTAGAGCCCTCAAATTGGGTGATGTTGCCTAATGGTTTGGGAATTAATGTTAGATGAAGTTTCATAGTGGAGGCTTCCACTTACACGTTGTTGAGCTTTGACAATAGAGAAAATAACAATGATGCTACATCACCATATGCGAATTCAAAGTCCTGAATTTTTTTACATTGAACATATTAAAACAACATGCAATGGCACACGAAATACATGATTCTTCAATTAACAATGAGACAAAGTGTAGCCACATAATAGGTTGGGACGCTACAGTTTCCATGATTTTTTCTGGATAGATATTGGTGATTTCAATTAAAGAACTGATTTGGGCTATAAATAGTGAAGATGTGTATTTTTTATTTTGCATGGCAAGTCTTTGATAAAATGTTTAAATGAGAACTTTAGCTAGGCCCATATTATGATATGAATTATGAAGATGTGTATTTCGTATCTCAATCAATTGGCATGGTCCTTGTTGGGCTGTCAATTGTTACAACCCTTTTTGTGTGGAAGTAGATTTATCATCTTCTTATTTCTATTTGTTGGTTTCGTTAACCAAAAATAACATAATTTTAGAAAATTAGAAAATATTATTATAAACAAACATTTAATCATTCCTTATTTGATTAACACAATACAATGTTTAGTTTCATTTTTTATTTGTTATGATGGTAAGATCTTTCTACAAATGGTGTCCTAGCATTATCTTTATATATAATATATAGAAGAAGAAAAAAAGTATAACAAACTAGAAAGGAGTTCATTCTTAGGAAAAAACTTAATCCTTATTTAGTCTTTTAGTATTGTTTTCTATTAGATGTTAATCTTTAATGTGCTATTAGTTCATGATTAGATAAGTTTAATGTAATTTAAGTTAGTCTTGAAAAGTTTAATCTCCACACTATTTTGGTCCGTAAATGTTTAACAATCAAAGCTTATTTCATAAGTCATTAAAGGATAGATGTTGTCCGTTATGAGGAATGCGGAATGAGACCATTATTATTGCAGTTTCTTTAATTTTTTTAATAAATAGTCTTTACATATATACTTATCTTGTCAAAATCTGTTTTAGAAAAGTATTTATGTTATTATGATTATTATATCAATTCGTATGCATAGTTTTGTCTACATTAACATGGTCTAAGATACTTTAAAACCACAATAGCACCATAATATTCAACTTTTCTTTTTAACGGCTGAAATTTTATGTTATTAATAAACCACCCAACAATAAAAACTAAACAATGTCATCCAAAAGCTTATCCTTTCTAAGTCTAATACGATCAATGTTACATTTGTTCCTGAAATTCCAAAGACACCACCATGTCGTAGAGATGATTGCATCCAAAACTGCTTTTCACCAAAATATTCAATTTTATTGACAAACTAAAGTACATTTATGATATTAATAAAATAAAATATTATTACGATCCAAGAAATATTACTAATCCACTTGTGATGAGATTGATAGACAAAGGTAATTGTAAAATTTCATACTTGTTAACATAAAATTTATATTTGCTTTGTTTGTTAAATTAAATTAATATAGTATTAAACTTGTTATATCATTTCATTAATGCAAGAGTAATAAAAATCCCCCCACATACATTTTCCCCAGCATGTGATTTTGTCCATCATTTTAATAGTATAACGTCTACAACTGAAACATATGATTCGAATCTTAAACAATTTTGTTTTTAAATGTTAAATCCTAATACTTATTCGTTTGATCATATTTCTTTCATGGCCATTTGCATATATAATACTTATTCGTTTGATCGTTTCCTTTTTTTGAATGAACAAGCGTCAACACTTTTGTTGCGATCTTTTATGGAATTAATTATACCGTATTATGTATTTGGGAGTTGAATAGGATTTTAAAATAAAATTTAAGAAAACAAAACAATAATATTAAACCAGGATGTCATCAAAAACAACGATTGATGAACAAATTACAAGTTTGATCCTTACACTTTCTCTAAAGTCTCAAGTTCACTCCTAGTGTTGAAATTGTTCCAGTGTCATCCATAAGTTTTCATTTTGTTGCGTATATGGTTCCTAATGACTAGGGGTGTCAAAAATACCCGAAACCGACTAAACCGAACCCGATTTAGATAAATAGGATCGGGTTTAATAGGGTATGAAGTCAAAAGCGGGTTATTCGGATGAACCCAACAAACCTGAAATAAATTTAGTGTCAGGTTGCGGATTTGCTTTTTATAATCTTTTTCGGGTATGAGTCAAACCGATTAACCCAAATAAAATTAATTAATCAAGCCTATCTCATGTTTATGTTACATTGTATGCGATCCTTCTCCTATGAGTGGCAAATCGGGCCACTTAGTCATGTTTTTGTTTGACATGACAAGACACGACAAAGTTTTGTGTAACATGAGCACGACATGATGTCGTGTTTTTTTTAACTAACACAAAAACGCACCGATTAAAACATAACAAACACGGCATGACATGACAAAGATAACATATAGTAACAATTAGTTTATTTATTAAATGCTTAATCATATATAACACGAAAAACACGACAACCAAATGCTAAATCATATCAATTCTGTGTCGAATTTCGAACACAAACACGACACGACACAACATCGTGTTTTTTACATTTGACACGAACACGAATTCGAATTTCAGTTTCGTCCCGATTTGGTTTCATGTCTTGTATTTTTGTCGTGTCGTGTCATCAATTGTCACCCCTACTTTCTGCACGTAATGCATATTGCACTGTCGATTTTTAATATGTTTTGTTTTGAATTTAATTCAAATTTAATTCTCATTTGTTCTTCTAAGGAAAACTTTTTTTATCGTTTCTTTAGTGGAGATCATCTACATAAAAACTCCGCCACAAGGCTACCGGAGAGTGGTCATCATTTGACCACCCCAAAAGTGCAACCACCTCATTGCCACACACTATCGTTTCTCCACAATACATTTAGGAAATAGTTATCACTTCACATTAGCTTATTATAATTGTACTTTAAGTATTAATGTGTTGTATATTTTAGAGAGAGAGGGGGGGATGATATACTATGACCACACCCACCACACCACCCTTGGAGTGGTGCCACTGCCACAACGTGCATAATTTTTCCTCCCGAATAGCCTAATTGTAATGTCCAATAAAATAATACATGTATAAATGATTATTTTCTTCCCATTGGATATGTATGAATCAAATAGTTTTTCAAGCTCATATAAAATTGCTATATCATATTATAATTATATATGCTCATATAAAATTGTTATATCATATTATAATTATATATTACGATAGACACCCCATTAAAATGGAATACCATAGAATGTGCATAACCAAAAACTCGATACTTGTCGGTAATAACCACTTATTGTCCTTTGCTTAGTAATTTAACCCGACTTACCCAAAATCCGATTGACCCTAACCCGACCAACTCGTAGCTTAATCAGGTCGGTTTTCGGGTGAAGTTAGTTTTTAAAATCCTAATTAACTAAAAGCTCATCGGATTGACCGGATTAACATTCCTAACTAACGACTTCAAAATTAGAGTATGCTTGTGATTTTAAGTAAAAGTAAATGGACCATATCTGTAATGAATTGCGAACTTTAGGACTATATTGAGATAATTCAAAATATGGGTTGAACTTGTGAGATTTTAAGTGAAGCTTAGGGACCAAATTTGTAATTTACTCTTGAACAAATGTAGATCAACGTACAATCTTCTATGTACGGCTTACAAGCATTCAATAAAACACTCACGCGTTGTTCTAAGTTCTAACATTCAAAGCGAAAATTCCTAGTAACTACGCAATGTGGAAAATAAACCCCTCCTTCCATCATCGTCTTCAAAAGACCTTCCCAACTTCAGTACCCGTCATCGCCATTTTTAGCTTCCTAAACCATAAACTCAAAAACCACCATGGATCGTCTCCTATACCAGACTGTCCTAAAAGGCGACCATGTTACCTTCCTCAAACTCATTCAAGAAAACGAAACCCTAATCAAACAGACCGTGGTTGGATCATCGAACACCGTGTTACACTTAGCAGCTCGGTTTGGGCACCTGGAACTGGTGTTGGAGATATTGAAAGTGTGCCCAAATATGGTTGTGGCGGAAAACAGTGACTTAGAGACACCATTGCATGAAGCATGCAGAGAAGGGGAAGTTGAGGTGATAAAGGTGTTAATGGCGGCGGATGAAGGGGTGGTCGGAAAAGTGAACTGCAGAGGTGAGAGTGTGCTGTTTGTAGCGTGTGAGAGAGGGAAGTTACAGGTGGTGAGGCATCTGATAGAGTTTCAATGGCTTCTTATGCATGAACTTGATGCGTTTATGTGTTCTATACACGTTGCTGCTGCCGGTGGACACACAGGTATTCATCAGTAATCACTTGTAAGTTTGATTTGAAAGTTAGTTCATATTATTATTGACTTTGTAGAAAAGTTAGAACCTTTTTGATCTGGTAACTTTAATAAAGAACACGTTTATATAACTATTTATTGAATATGCATTGTTTACTAATGTTAAAACAAAAAAGATCTTGTGGATTCAAAGTTAGAAATATTAAGTTATAATTATTAATTAAGAGACAAAAAACTGCAAATTAACTTTCATAATCATCTTTTAGTACTACTAATAATATCTTTTTATGACCATATTTTGTTTATGAATTCGTATTTTTTATGAGTTTAACAAACAATGTGATATTAAGTGCAATAAAGTTTATTTTTTAATGATAAAACAAAATTAGTTATATAAACTTATTTAATGATATTAAGTCCAATAATCCTTACACAGGCAATACACAATTATATATGTATACCACAATATTATGTTTTTTATGCTAGAGAAATGAATCCCACCATATTATATGTATCACATTTTATGATGAGGCAGAATAGTCAAAAATGATCGGTGGTCCCTTATTTAATTTGTTGTTTTGTTAGAAGGCAAATATGTTTTTCGCAACCTAGCTAACCGGCTTTCCTTATTCGTCCCAAAATAAATATACTATTTGCATTTACTATAGAACATAAGTACAAATTTTCTACATTAATTACTAATCAAATATTTAAAAAGTCAAATAAAGTACTTATAAATCATAATTTGTCATCGATGGGATGTATAATAAAAATATTTTTCCCATTTTAAGAAATTGTATTTATAACTATAAGTATTATATAGCAATTATTGGCGATGGGCAATGCTCAACGACTTATTCTATTCACACACAAGACAAAATTCAGATATCGACTTCATGCGTTTACTTGACTTACAAAGTCCACCAATTGTCGTCTTTTATATATACATATATATATGGAAGGATATTTCTGTAATTTTTCATATAGTAATAATTCATACGTAGTAAAATGAAGTTCTCGTAAAAATTGAAATACCAATTACTGATAAACTCACGGTATTACTTTTATACTTTATCTAGAAATAGTCAAGGAGATATTGAAGGTGCGTCCAGAGTTTGCAAGAAAGTATAATTCAGAAGGATACTCAGCGTTGCATCTAGCTTGTAGCAGAGGGCAGTTAGACACAACAAGGGAGCTTCTTTGGTCAGATCCCGATCTTTTGTACCTCCGAGATCACAATGGTTGGACACCCTTACATTGGGCATCAATGAAAGGTCGAGTTGGAATTATTGGCGAAATCATCTCAATAAACCTTGAATCTGTCGAGATGGTTACTAACCATGGTGAAACTGTTCTTCATCTTGCCGTGAAGTATAACCAGTTTGATGGTTTAAGACATCTAATGGAAACACTTAACATCACAAAACTTGTAAATGTACAAGACAATGATGGCAACACCGTGTTACATGTGGCAACAGCCGGGAAACTCAATACGGTAATATATATTCTCTTGATTCCTTAGTCGTTGACATTATATTTTGGATATTAACCAAAATGACTACATTCTTCTAAGTGGTAGAAGCCAATTAATTTGTTGCAAACGATTATCAAGTTCGAAAATTTACAAATTTCCAACTACTTTTTCAGTTTTTTGTGACAAAAACTAGTTCGAAAATTGTTTTTTCTGAAAAAGTAGTTCGAAATTTTGAACTATTTTATTTAGAAAAATATGTTCGAAGATACTTATACAGTTTGGAAAGTTTAACTACTTTTCATGCGCTATTAACTTGTTCTTTGTCGTGAGTATGTATTGAGTTTCAAACTTGTTTTCGTGACAGATATCCATTGAAATAATAGTTAAGAGTCATAAAGTCAAATCTTATTCATTATAAAATGAAGATTTAATAAAAATAACAATAAAGAATGATAATTAATGAGGAATAATATGGAAGAAGTCAAGAAGATGAGAGAGAAAAAAAAAAGAATGATGTAAAGTAGTTTGAAAATTCTTACTTTTGAAGTAGTTATTTAGGCTATTTGTTTAAAATCTAGTTATTTCCTAATATCCTTTTAAATGTACGTTTATTTTGTTGAATATCCTTTTTATTATTGTTGTTTTCATTGATTTATACATGAAAACAGATGGTGACATATCTACTTAAACGCGGTGTGGATGTAAACGCTATCAATCAAAAAGGGTATACAGCGCTAGATGTTGTTGAATCAGATGGAAGCAACTCAACTGCCCTCCAAATTATACCAGCCCTTTTGGAAGCTGGAGCGAAAACATGTGAACAATTGCCCCCTACTTCTCGAGACATCAAAGAAGTAGTTCATCGCAATTTAATCACACATTCTCCACACACAAGAACAATAGACTCCCCAACCCAACGTCATCGCTATAGAAAGCAATCTCACCGAAGATCAAACCAAATCGAGCTTCAAAATGAGGGCCTACGAAACGCAAGAAATACTATCACCATTGTTGCTGTTCTGATAGCAACTGTCACGTTTTCAGCGGGAATAAACCCTCCGGGAGGATTCAGTCAAGAGACAGGGAAGGCTAAAATGGGAAACAAAAAATCATTTAAAGTGTTTGTGTTGTGCAACATTCTGGCATTGTTTCTATCCCTGGGCATTGTTAATGTTCTTGTTAGTGTCATTCCGTTTAGGAGGAAATCAATGATGAACTTATTGGTAGCCACACATAAAATCATGTGGGTGTCGACTATGTTCATGGCATCAGCTTTTATAGCAGCGACATGGACCATTTTACCACAAGGTCAAGGCTCAAGATGGTTGATGATTGAATTGATGTTGGTTGGGGTAGGTTGTACACTGGTCGTGCTTCTAGGGTTGGGTATTTTGTTGGGAAAACAATGGTCGAGGAAAAAAGAATGGCGAAGACGAAAGGAAAGGAAAATGAAGGATGGTACGCCTAATAGTAGTGTTAATAGTCGTATAGGAGAAATGCGTTTTGTTAAGAATAGTCATAAGTCGTCTAGTAACTCAGACGTTGATAGCTCTGATCATGGTTATCAAGTTTATTAATTCATGTTCATATGAACATGTGTGTATAAGTTATTTTAATATTTTGTACCAGGCGAATGCACACGTATTCTGCAGGTTAAAACTATTTAGCTATAATTTTGAAAAATACATGTTTTAGCCATCGACATTAATTATGCAATAATATTTTGTACACTAAGTTGATGTATAAAATCCAACTTCAATAATATTCAATAATATAGTAAGATAAACATATATTACAATCGTATTTTGTAATGTCATATGCTTCAACTTATAAATAAATAAAATTAAATATAACTAGATGGGGAACCCCGCGTTGCGGGGGTCGGATGCGACAATTTTTTCTGTTGTTTGTTCTTTGTAAATGTTATTTGATCAACTATTTGTTTATAGTTTGAGTTGCTCATTCCTTCCATCTTTAACTGATCTGTAAATAAATAAATAAATAAGGAAAAAAAATCATCAACGAAACTGTAAACAAAGTAAGAAAATTGTTAGATTACCCTCTTTAACTGAAATAGAATTAAAATGCAACACATTTTGACAAATTCTGGCAATGGAAATCATATATCATAAACCAAAATAACCAACATTGCATTCAACCGCTAAAACGGAAAGTATATTAGCAAGTAACTTCTACATGAACAACAGGTCATCATAAAGATTGAGAATGAAAATGACATTTCAGTAGCTTGGCCTCCTGTATTCCACCTTCCACCTCCACCCACCTCCACCTGCAGGCTCCAATGATGCTCCTCCATCCATCCATCCTTTAAAGGATACAATACTATTAGTCACAGATGACATAAAAAATCTAAAACAAATTAATAGGATCTTTGGCGGGTCATGAAAGTAGGATGCTATAATGTCATTCAAATACAAAGCAGCTAGATAGATTGAATAGAGTATAATGTCGTAATGTAAGAAACGAAAGTAAACAAATAAATTAGTGTACGTTGCTATTTTTTGCATTTAACGCTTTTGGCTGATAGTAAAAACATTTTTAGTGGAAATCCCACTCCTCATAACCTTAATAAAGCCACCTGAAGAAAAAAGAAGAACATATTTTCTGTTATTATCGTATTGACATTTTTGTTGGATGCAATTGTGCATACTAATAAAAAGGTTATAATATCTACCCTTATCCATCAAGAATGTTAATTTGGGACCATTTTCCCCAATTGCCATTATATTATATTAAAGCAAAATGAAACATGTTTGTTGACCACAATTAGAATCTACCTCAACGCATTGAAGATTAGAAACGTTGTTGGTTTTCTCAACTTGAAGCCCACATGGCAGAAATAAGTACAACAATGTACTTAAAAATGCTATTAATGAGGTCATACAACAATGTACTTAAAAATGCTATTAATGATGGAATGGAAAGATTAAATAGAGGTCATATAATAATCTAAAAAAACTGTTTACCTACCTGTAATACAGTATTTTTTTTTTAAAAACATGCTTTAAAAAAATGCTATTACAAACTTTACCTTTTTATTTCCATTATTATCTACTAAATTGTTAATAAGGTAATATGCGATAATTTACTAAAAATGTAAAAAATGGTGAAAATGAGTTGGAAAAAAGTAAAATAACAACTATATTTAGAAGCTTCAACAGATATACATGTAAATATCTGTTATATGCGTCTCAATGTTAAAGTAAGAAAAAAACAAAAAATTAATACTCCTCCCATCCATAAAATATATGTAATCATTAATTTTTTAGTGCTAGTTAGTATTGACACCATCAACTATCTTTATATAATAAAAAAAACACTTACAGGTGATAACTTCAAACTGTTTTTTTAGCAGGCTTAGTCGATTCGGTTACGGTTCCAGAATTGCAGGTTGCAAAGATTGGTATCCAGTTTTCATGTTCACCTTGTTTTCTCTGTTTTAGAGACGGATTTGCTGAGTTTTTGTTGTTCCTCCATAACAAAAAGGTATCAGGAGCTGCAAAAAATCATCACATAAAAAGAAATTATGAGAATAGAGGTAAGCAAACACTAAATAAGTAACTAATTTATTTAATTAGCAAAAGTCCTTTGTTAATAAGAAAAGGGAAGGAAGTTGCACAACATAAACAATAGTAAGATATGGAGAAAACGTGATGATAGAAACTCAAAAAGTTGGCCTAAACAGGGAAACTGTTGGAGAATAGATCCAAAGCATCATATGTATTTTGCAATTTTCATAAAATTGAAGTTGGTATTATTCATCATCGAATTGATTTACCATATTTTTCCTTTGAATCGAAGTTGTACGTCACATTCCAAGAATTGCAAAGAACAAAAATATTTTTTTTTTATCAAGAACAACATTAAGGGACCCAAAATTTTTTAAATCTATACAAACTAAAATTTTTGTTAATGCATTAAAGGGTAAAAAATGTATCAATTATGGTCGTTGTCATTACCTGATTGGATTTCAAGTATGCGATGTTAGGTAAGTAAGGCTCACGGCTGTCTTCTAGATGTACTTCTCATCAGACATTCTATCCAACAATGCTTTAATGACTACCTCATAAAACAACTAAAAAGTAAAACCCATGCAATTTCTTTAAATTTCAGAAAATACACCAATTTAATTAATAGAAGTTGAAAATTAATAGAACCTGGGCTAATGAATGGTATTCCATAAGTTCCAACTCAACACCATGTTGTATTCAGACTAAGGCAAGTAATTTGAACCTTTGGTTCCCTGTTGTTGTTATGAGACTATTATTATTGAATTCAAATGGAAGCTTTTGCAACTAAATTTATACAAACTCACCCATATATGTTGTCATTTTCGCGCAGATTTCTAAACATCATCTAGTGAGACAATAGCTGATACATATAGAAAGTTTGTTTCGTTTGTAGACAACATTAAGGCTGTTCTTGAACCCACAACACCAGTTGACGTATTTGAGTACTTTCATCGAACACTTGGCGTGGAATCTTCCAAACTCCACCTGAAGACAGAATTTCTTTGTGCAAGGACCTAATTTTCAATTCAAATCAGCAGACCAAATATAATTTAATAAAATCACAAAGAATTAGACATTATTAGTTACCTGATCCGAGATCAAAAACCCGGAGGCGGAAGAAAAGGAAGCGAGCAGCAAAACACCATCTGATTGGAAGAAGGGAAGCGGTGTGTTGTGCTCTACCCACCAACGTTGGGGATTTCAAAATCCTGAAAACATTCCTAAAATCAATGCGAAAACAAATTTGTCAAACCGGAGGCTGAAATCAATTTACAGACTATGGGAAGCAGTTGGAATAGATAAGAGAAGATGGGGAACCCGAACAAAAATCTTAGCACATAAACGTATTCATAAGTGAACCGTAATAGAAGAGACAGATTTAGGGGAAACTAATTAATTTTACCCATTAAAGATTCAAAGCCAAGATGAACACCAGATTCGATGAAATGACGGAGGTTACGGGTCCACAACATCGAAGAAGCCGACGGAATCTTCCTGGACGGCACCGATGATGCATCAATACCTTATAACCTCTGTACGTCTGAGAATGAAATCGATTTGAGGTATTAGAAAATTGATTCGATACCTGAGAAGTAGAAGGCGATGGTGGTTTCTTCTATGGCGGTCGCCTGAGTTGGAGATAAACTGGGGCGGAAGGGTTTCAGGTGAGGTGGCGATTATAGCCATGAACGGTGGTGATGTTGGGAAGATCTGTGAAGTAGACAGAACTTGAGCGGAAGACCTTGGGGAGCGAAAACTAAAGTAAACATCGAGAAACGTTAAGCCGTAGATGAAAGAAATTACCTTACCAGGTGGAGGTCGAGGTCGGGTGGGGAAAGCCGTCGCTTGGAAGAGCATCAGACCGTCGAAGGAACGGGAAGGCAGAAGTCCATTTATGGAGGCGGTGGATTTGCAGAGGAGAGAAAGAAAGGAACGGCGAAAACCTGTGGAAAAAACGGTGGTTTCAAGCAGAAGGTTTGGATAAGGACGAGGAGACTGAGTGTGGATCGACGGTGAGGAGAAGAAATGGGGAAGTGCGGTGGTTTTAGGGATTTTTAATCGGAAGAGAGTAAGAAGAAGCGGTGGGCAGCAACCTGATCCTTATCGGCACAGATAATTAAAAAAAAAATTCAGCCAATGACATAAAAGAACTGTTAAAATTTTTCACATCTTTAATATATATATAATAATTAGAAATGTTGTCAAAATCATGATCATAGGATCGTATGATCCTAGATATGAAAAACGATCCGGTTCGCATATTAAGATCGTAGGATCGAGATCCGATCCGATCCGATCCTACTTTTCCTTGATTTTTTTTTATTTTTTATTTTTTATTTTTTTGCAAATGAAAAAAAAATGAATTTACCATTTTATATATTTTACCCTTTACCAATTTATCCTTTATTATTTTGTGTTGTGACTTGTGACTAAAGTTTTGAAGTTTTTATAGTTTCTGAACGGAAAACTTAATGTTGGAGATAATTTTCATGTTTTAAAATAATTAGATAAAATTATGTTTTATTTTGTGGGATCTTAGGATCTCGATCCCGATCTTGCAAACCAAAAACGATCTTACTTAAGATCCCGATCTTGACAACCTTGATAATTAGTGTTACTTTTAATTATTTTTATTATTAATTAATTTAAAAATCACTTATTTGATTGGTTATTATTTTTAACAATTGTTATGGTTAATTAATTTAAAATAACTTATTCGGTTAATGTTGATACATACGGGAACACATTTAAATGAAATACATCAATATCTAAAATTTAAGTTACTTGTTTAAAATATATTGTTATGAAAAATGACTTCATAAGTATAACATGATGTACACAAAAAATAGGAATTTAATATACATTTATTTACATGCTTAAAACATTGAAATAAAAGGCTCATGAATTTTTTATATAAAAAAATTGAGTAAAAGTACAAAACTCATTTTCATAGCATAGAGCATCTTCAATGATAGTTTTATAACTTTGTTAGTATTCCACCAACCATCCAATAACATCAAAGTGAATAATTTATTATGTTAGTA